GATGTGCTTATCGTGATGCTGTTTTATTCTCAGTTATTTGTGGTAAAAGCAGTAAGTCCCTGAGTTGTTGGTGAAATCCCGTGAAGTGGGGACACGTGCTACATGACTGCATGGGAGGGCTTTCCAAAAGGCTTCCATATGCGTTACCTGTCTTCAGGTAAAAGGCACGAGGCTTGACTCGCCATTCTCACACCAAGTCACTTCCTTCACTAAATCTGTTTCATGGTAAAAAAGGACTTGCATCTTCTAAACTTCTCTTCCGTCATGACCATTAGATACTGCAGCTAAAAGCCTCTCTCTCAGCTGTCCAGATTTCACTGTGGTTTTGGTATAGATGTAGGAATAACTAGAGGGCTTCCTTGTTTAATTAAGGCTTTCTAATTAATGGCATAATTTGCTTTTGCCATATATGATACGTCTACTAGATCTTGAATATGGTTATTAAGAGGAATAACCTGATATTGAGAGTTAGTGTTTTTGCAGCACCTAACATGACAAGACCCAGTCTAGCTATAATAAGTCCGTCCTAGTTCTCAGTTTCTGGGCCAAAAGCCTGCAGCGCAACGGTGAACACGTTGCAGTCAAGGCTTAGGTCTCATTTTCAGTACCATCTACTAAAAAAATAAAATTTGCAACCATGGTAGCAGTATAAATATAAGAGGTTTTAAAATACATTTTTAGAATTGGCCTTTTTTGCGCCTTTTTTTGTTGGTGTTTTGGTTTGGTTTTTTTCTGATATATAGCTCGATTACTTATAGGGTGTATTTTGTTAACATTTCCAGATGTTCTGGTAACTGTAAGATTCATCAGTTTTCAGAATCTTACATCTGAAATTAACATTTTTCGCTTTTCTGCATTTCATGCTTTTCTGCATTAAAAAAGTATCAAAAATGAGCAATAAAATAGTGGAAATGGACAGTCTTAGGATTAATGAGGCCTCCTTTGTCATACAATTTGGTCAGCAAAAGGGATGTCTAAGAAATAATGGTCTTTGTATCATAGTGCATGACACAGCAGGCAGTTTTCTTAGAAGCTGTAGGTACGTACATCCTCTTATTTCCTTTACTGGCTTAAACCTATTTTTTCACATCAATTACTGTTCATTCATTGAATGGAAAACACACGTTTTTAATTATATTAGTTGAAATGTTGGCGGGTTGTGAAACCAAGTACTTGGAATTGGTCCATTTGAGCCACGTGAATGAGCAGTACTGCTTTATAGTTTTTCCATTTTTTCACTTCATTCCAAACTGATCTTTGCGCAGAAGAAAATCTGCTACTGAAAGATAAAAGGCTCCATCTAGTGGACAAGAACTTTTTATTGAAAGAAAAAAAAGGCAAGATTTTAACTTCATTTTATGCATGAAGAAATACTGCTTTAGATTTTGTTTCATTAAGCTGCCATGTTGTTCTTAATTCTTGCCTTCTGCGGAGCCATGATTTCATATGCAAAGCTGAGACATTATTCTGACAGTCTTGAGCAAGAAGCAATAAATTATATTAAATGAGTGGGCTTATACAGCATAGGAATTGATCCACAAAGTTCCTCCAGCCCTTCAAGCTTCAATATATACTAACCTAAAATGGATAATTTGTGTGTCAACAAATATTTAAACTATTTAAGGTTCTTTCCTACTTAAAACCAACCAGAAGCATTCATAACTTGACCATAACACTTCAGACACTGCTTCGGGAATATTTTTACACAGGGGACCCTGCCCCCGTGTTACCTCATCTTCATTAAATGACCTGCAAAGGGTGAAATCTGGGTTCTCTGCCAACTCAGTCCAGCGCATCCGCTTCCAGAAGGGCAACCGGCCTCTGCTGTCTCTTCCAAAGGCAAACACCAGACTTCGTTCATTCCGGAATTTGTCTAGGAGCCTGTTGTGTGTCCAAAATCGTCCTGGTAGAATCTAGCACTTTTATTTTAGGTACATAATTGAGCTAGTACAGTACTTTTTTACTTTTTTTGGCCCCTCTTTGCTGAACCTCTGCACTGCCTTGCAGTTACGCCCTGAACTCCTGAGTGATTCAAATGGCAGGAGTCTTCAGGAGGGAAACTCTGGTCTTGCTGTCTCATTCCAACCAAGCACATCTAGCAGCTTAAACCTCCTCTCCAGTCCGTTCTAGGCTAGTAACAAGAGTGGGAGCACCGATTTGGCAGGAGACTCTGAGGCACGTCCTATGTCCTGCCTTTTGCCAGGCTGTCATTTTCAATTCCTCATGCACAACTTCTAGCAATGGGTAGACAGTTTTAATATGCATAGTAATGATATATTACTACACCCAAACTTACTGTAGCCTATGTTCACATCTACAACTAGAGTGTTTGTCTCCTGGGCAAATCATGAACTAGAGTTTAGTATGTTGTATTGCACACCCCTTGACCAGGGGAGATCTCCATTTGCAGTGGGGCCACTTGATAGCAAATCCAGAGGTTTGCTCCTCCTTCAGTATTAACATGAGATCTGGCAATTCTGCCAAGACACGGAGTCTTGCTGATCTGTCCCAACGGTTCTCCCCACCTGCAGCTCCCCTTGTATCCTCCATGGAAACGTAATTCTGGCGTCAGCGAAGAAGAGCTGTCACTTGGCTTGTTTTACAAACTAAACCAAAGAGTTCTTACTCTGAACCTTTATATGAGCAAGGACTAATACAGAAATGACTGGTCTTAGACGTCCTTCAGGGAAGTTCCCATGTTTGCAAAATGCAAGCAACACTATCCCCAAAAGGGAGGAAAGGGAAGATAAAAGTTAAGCTTCATTTTTCAGTTTGGGGGGGCAGCTTCTATCTTTGGTCTCAGCTTGTAGTAACTCTCTGTACTCCTTAAGACATGTCAGGTCTATTAAGACATGTTGGCTATTTCAGAATTATCATTACAACTGCCCTGTTGGCTGGGTTACCCTCCCCTAAAATTGTCATTAGCTATTTGTTACAAGTAACACCACTTGGTTTCTACTGCAGATGGGCACCTGCTTCACTAGGCTGCAATAGAAGAAAAGATGCAAGTCACTTCAAAGTAAAAGTTTTAAAATACTATCGCTTCTATCTGCTGGCCTTTCCTCTAAAATGTTAATATTTTAAGAGATTATAGGTTTGTTGCTGAGCTAAAGCAAACCCTTTATTTAGAACTACACAGCAAGATCCTCTGCGTCCTTTAAATACCTTGTCTAGCACTCGTACTTGAGCTGATGCTAATGAAATCCAAATTTCCAGATGTTAAACTCTGGGGAACATTTGACAATCTGCTTTTGTAATAACCTGCTGTAAACTCAAAATGCTAATTTGGGGATTAAGTATTAATTTATTCCCTCTACAGGTCATCAAATAGTCTCATACAAGCCTTCTAATTAATATTTTAACGTAGCTATTTTAGATGTTGTTTATCTGGGTTAGATTTACTCAGCTGTTTTTCTCTGCTTTGCAGGAGCAGCAGTCGTTGAAACAATAAACGCACATCAATGCATTTGTTTCAGGAGTACCACTAAGCTGCTTCTTTATTTTTCACAGCTAACCAGGTGCTGAAGTTTGGAACGCTCGTCAGTACTTCCAACACCTATGACAACTCTGGGATTGTGACCATTGAGACGGACAAGCCTTTGCTGTGGACGATGGCTATCAAAAGATAAGACCAGCTACAGCTGCCTTTTTCTGATCTGACTCTACTCAAATTACTGCAGAATTTCACTGAATTAAGATGGTGAAGCTGTTCTGAAAGATATAAGCAGGCACTGAATTTTATGTACTGAATAGAAAATAAGTCTGAAATAAAAGTCACTTGAGATCAAACCACGATTAGTAGCAGTAACTAAAGACTTCATTCTGATACCTCAGAAGACACGAGTTGCTACCCAATACAATCACAAACAGAAATGACTGTAAAGAAACTGCTCCTGCTTATCTGGTTAGTTCAGACTATTTTATGGAGTATTTTATTCCAGTACTGAACTGTTTCTTCCCCTTTGGCACAAGGAAATGCAGTACACAGCTGCATATAGTATAACATAATTAAAAGGTGATGGCACCAAGAGTAGTTAATCTCATTTTTCTGTCCTGATTTGTAACGTATTAAATGTTGAAAGATTCTCAAGAATCTTGTTATTTATCAAGGAGAGCACTAACTGAACTTTTGAATCAAATTTTGCATGCTGAAGAAGCTTCAGTTTTACTGTAATATCAGGTTTCCCAGTACTAAGTGCTTTTAAAGTCTGTAATAAAAGCAGCACTGTAGCTTCTGCAGATACCAAACACTTACAATAAGCTTTATGGAAGGAAACACAGACTTCTAAATCTCAATCTGAGGAAGAAGAGCATTGCATCTACCATAGCTTTTTAAAATTAAAACACTGAATGATTTATTAATGGTAACTTCCAGGTCAACAAATGCAGAGCCCTTTATAATTCTAGGTACAGTTCTTTTACAGAAACAGTATCCAAAAGGGGTGTATATCCTGTCCAATGGTGTGAGCAAGTTGTTGATTTGGTGAAGGACTGCTTAGTATCTGACAAATTAATGTTAAACTGTACATCTTAGTAACCAACTAAGTTTGCCTTTCTTAGTTATGCCATCAGAATCAGGACTAGCAATGCAAGTTTTTTATTTGCTGGAGTGTTCTTCTAGTCAAGAACATAATATAACCTAACAGGACTCGAAAATGTCAAAAGGAATTCAGGGTAATGTTGGTGATTCCAGAATTCCAGTCAACTGACTTTTAAATCATCCCGTGAGAGGATACAGAAACGCTGTTTTCTTGCTGTCTACTTTTGCTGGAACAATGCTGTTTATTTACTAAGCAGTAAGTTAAGCATTAGAACAGCTTCAGTGGTCACCCTCGGAGGTTTCCAATACTTCACTGGACAAAGCCTTAAGAAACCTCATCTGAACGCGACAGCAGGAGGTTGGATGAGAGACCTCCCAAGGTTCCTTCCTACCTGAATGGTTCCATCACAGCTGAAAAGAAGTAACAAAACAAGCGGAAAAAAAACCCCCACCACTCTACTACTACTAAAAAAACCCAAGCCTGTAATACAGACAGGTAGGATCACATACACTTTAAAAGAAGAAGATGACAAGAACATTTGAAAACCCAAACTGAGCCTGTTTAATAGCAAACAAGTTAAAGCTGTGAAATCTTTGCAGCAAGTGTCACAACGGCTTGTTCTTCATGATGAATATTCAGCCACCTCTGTTGGGAGAAAAAAATAATCAGTTTCAAATATCAAGTGATCCCATCTGAAGTCTAGTTTATCCTCCCACCATTGGCTTGTTAGGACAGACATTACTACCGCTACAGCTTATGTCCTATTTTCATATGTTTCCCTTTGCCCAGAGGACCACTCTTACTGGTGTAATCAAGCCACATGTCACAGGTCATGGAATAGTATTGAACCTGTTCCAGTGCTAGAAAAGGGATTACATCAGCTCTGGAGAATCTGAGGCATTTTAATGGTAGCCTTAGTAAGTTGGAACCGTGGCTGACAGTCAACTTAAGGGTCAAGTTTTTCATGCTGAAACATTCCTTCCAAAAAGTATTTTACAGAGCACAGTTACACATTCAAAGTGTCAAACATATCTAAGCACTCAGTAAAAGAAAAACAAACAAACTTTGTTCTGTGCCAACACAATCAATTTTCTTTACCTTACTATCCATGCATTTACTTCAGCTATCCAAAGTATAAACTGGAAACAGTAAGAGTATGTAAGATCCAAATAAGATAAATGTTCTTATGATCAAACACACAGTGAGGAACTGGAAATCACAATATTTGACGTTCAGTTTTGGAGCAGAATACCTGAAGAACTACGGATCTAATATTTGTGGCGTGCTAAATTAACAACATTCTTCCTGATCAAGTCCTTTGAATCAATTAATACCTGCCATATTACACTAAGAGGTAAAATGCATAGATACTAAAGTAACATGGATCCTCTGTTTAAAATTGAGCAGGTAAAAATGAATGTAACAGTGAAAGTGAGGTTATATTTACTTACACAATGATATTGTTGATTGGGATGTGAATCAATTTGACAAAGAAACCAATAAATCCCATTATCGCAAAGCCTATTGCTGTTGCCATGGCAATCTTCTGGAACTCTGCAAAACAAAAAAAAAATTATTCTAGGAATCCTCATGTGTGGCATACAGGAGATGTGCACTACAGCAACCAGCATGGAGTTCTCTTTTTAGGAAACAGTAATGTTAACACAGGAAGCAGAACTGAACAGAAGCAAACTGCACTGATGCTGAGAAACAAATCCCCTTTTTCAGAAGACAGGTGAGATTTTAAGAGAGAAGGTGCTGCTTTCTACAAAGTGTGGCCAATCTCAGGTTTTTTAATAAGCAAAATCAGAAATACCCAGAGTCCGTTAACAATTCACAGCACATTTACTCCATTATCTTTCATTCATATCCCTACAAATCCTGAAAATAATATAGCATCAGAAATGGAAAAGCTGCATTTATGTCTGTCACATGGAGACTGCATCTTAAGTTCCTGCAAAAATCAAGTACTTAAGTGATATGCCAAATTATTTTAAGGCGTCAGCCATGAAGTGGACCAAGAAGGTAAACAGCCCCTCATAAACCTGCCTGTCTGACAATGTAAGAAATTCCTTACTGATCTCTAAAGATGGCAGTGAACTTCATCCTGAGCATGTGAATAAAGCATGGTAACTGCTACCATTAAGGACCAGTGGCATTCTGGTTAGTTACAGCTTCTCTCTAATGCCTTTGAGAAAGTCTAAAAATCTCTTCTATACTTCCAGCAACAAAGTTCTTCCTGTCCCAAGAAGGAATTCAGACAACTGTGAAGTACTGAAGGGGCACTGCTACAAGCAATTCTAGCTCCTTGCGATTCTCCTAAAATCAAGTGTTTCCTCCAGAATTTCCCCCAAGTTGACTGCAATGAGTCAAACCTGACTGCTGCATTTGTCATTTCAAAATGCACACCAGTTCTTCTCAGATCAGTTTATCTAATACATGAAAAACACTACTTTCCTGTATCAAAATGACATCTTGAAATCAGCCATCTCAGAATGGCTGATTTCAGCTAATTAGCCATTTCATAAGATGAGTTTTAGCACCACTCACACTTGACTGAGTATGCACCAGAAAAGGACACATTCAAGTTTGTTATATGCAGAACTATAAACCCATTAATATCTGCTCAATTTTAAGTATCATATCGGACGATGAGAAACATCCATGACAAATCAAGACAGATGTGGAAAGAAACATGGTAAGATGTAGGATGAAATAAGGATTGTGTTCTGGTTTATTATGTGCTTTACCTTTCCTGTCAGGCTTGGTGCACCTTTTAACAAGTCGTATGGAGTCTTTCACAAACTGGCGGCTGGGCTCCACGAATTGCATTACCTGATCCATGGTTACCTGCAAAGACGAGCAGATTTAGCATCAGTGGTGCCACATGCAGAAGGCGCAGTTACCTACGCAATTTGTAAAGGCTTAAGATAACTTAAAATGCCATATTCCAGCCTCACTGGACTTTTCAGAGAATGGACTAGATTAGTAGAGACCTTTAGGATCACCGAGTCCAGTCATTAACCTAACGCTGCCAGGTCCTCGACTACAACCACATCCCTCAGCACGGTGTCTGCAGGACTCTTAAACACCTCCAGGGACGGGGGCTCCGCCACTGCCCTGGGCAACCCGTTCCAGCGCCTGAAACTCTTTCAGTAACGAAAGTCTTCCCAATATCCACTATAACCCCCGCCTTGAGCAATCTGAGGCCTTTCTCTCTCACCCTGCAGCTCGTTACTTGGCAGAAGAGACAGATCCCCACCTCGCTACAGCCTCCGTCAGGCAGCTGCAGAGAGCGACAGGGCCTCTCCCCTCAGCCTCCTCCTCGCCAGACAAGGACCCCAGCTCCCTCGGCCGCTCCCCACGAGACTTGTGCTCCAGACCCTTCCCCAGCTTCGCTGCCCTT